CTACTTCAAAATTGCTGAAGTTGAAGGAAATGAAACCCATAAGAAATTATTGGAATCATTTTATATTTCGTATACAAATTTGAGTTTTTAACTTCCATGATTTAGGTAAGAATGGGTTTCATATTTTTTTTCTTCTTCACTTCAGTATCAGGATGTAAACTCGGAGATTTGAATGGGAATGGGTGCCAAGAGTTCCAAGACACTGTTCCTTTTGGTGATACCATGGTGATTGATAGCCCTTCAGTGGGAACTCATGGGGAGAAGCTTTGTTTTGACTCTGAGGTTGTGGATGATCAAGGTAGTGATGAAGAAACGAGACTTGAGTGTGAGGAGGAAGTTGTGCTTGACAGTGAGGATGAAGAGCTTTGTCAATCTAAAGCAGCAAGTTTTGTGGGTGTTGAGACTTATAGAAGATGTAAACGGAAGACAGTAGACATGCAAAACAGGAAACTCAGCCTGCATTGCGAGCAAACCAAGTGTTTGGCGGCAGATCCCATCAGTTCAATTGATCAGCAATGTATTGCAGTTGCGGGTTGGTATTCTTATAACTTTAACTCTCAATTTATATTTGCGTGCCATCAATATGATTGCTTTGTGTTGCAAGTCTACTCTTGCATGGATTATGCATTCTTGAATCTTCATGGGCATGTAGTAATTTGAGATGGTACTTTCTGTGTTTTGAAATGAAGGGAACAAAGGATCTTCAATTGATTTTGAGAGTTTTGATGGGAAAAAGGATCTGCCAGAGTCGTCCACAAGTGATCGCCTGCCTGGAAGGTTTTATTGCATAAGTTCTCAGCAATCTAGAGAGTCATCTCAAGCGCTTGAATTTGTGGATAACTTCATAAAATTAAACACTATGAATGTGTCTCAAGGAGTTGAACCAAGGAAGATTGTCACGGAGAAATCACATTCTATCTCAAGTGCCAGGGGAGCTCAGAATTTGGCGAAGATAATCAAAGAGAGGACTCTAGGCAGTGAAACAGGAACCTTTGAATGGGTTGAGAATCATCAGCATGAAGAGATTGATTTTTCAAGCGAGAGGATGAAGTCATCTTCCAGGTTTGGAGATGACTCCGTGGAGAAGACAGCAACAAGCCACCTCGACAGTAAAGGACCTGGCATCTTAGCTAATGAGCATGAAAAGATCAAAATGTTGACAGACCTCCACGTTAATCCAAGTTGTACTCGAAGGAATCTTTTAAATGGATCCATCAGGGAGTGTGATGAACACTCACAAACTGACTTGTCAGGCTCAGGACAGGAGTTAGGTGCCACCGGGATAGGAAGAGATATGGAAGACATGCCTGATATTGGTATTGGCACTCAAATAGCTGTGGAGGCCATAGAGGCCTTAGCCTATGCCGCCCCTGATCATTTCCAAGTTGGTAGGGAATATCATGCTCCAGAGAACACCACTGAAGATTCCCCAAAAGGCATGATGGATGGCGAAGCTCTTTTGAAGCAACATTCTTTTTTGATTAGCACTTTCACTGAAATAGGAGGCAACGCAAGACAGCCAATACGGAGAAAGCGTTCTGCTAGAAAATTTAATAAAAAGGTTCCAAGTTTATTTCCAAAGCACTACAAAAATCAGAAGTTGGATCCTGAATTAGAAACAACAACAAAAGCGAAGGGAAGGCAGACAAAAGTAGATGAGGCTGTGGCCAGCAAAAACGGAAAAAGGTGCGTAAGTTATAAGAGTCCAATACGCAATGAGAAGATCTGTTGTGTAAGCAAAGGACTGTCGAAAGGGGGGCCAGCTACTGCTCACAAAGTAGAGCAGTGGATGAATGTTACAGAGGGTGATCTTCTTACTTACAGAAGGAAGAGAAAGGGTGCGGCTGCTGATAGTAGCAGAAAACATTCAGAAGTGCATCGTAATGCATCTGCTGAAGCTACAGGTAGTAAACTGGCTGAACAAGGGGAACCTGATACTGTTCACAAAACAGAGCAGTGGATGGCAGGATATATAATGAAAGGTTCAAAGGATCAATTAGAAAATCCTGGAGAAAAGACCCAAAATGTTACAGAGGATAGTAGGAGAAAGGGGGTGGCTGCTGATAGCAGGAGAAAACATTCAGAATTGCATCTTAATGGATGCTCTGAAGCTATAAATACAAAACTGTCTGAAAAAAAGCAGACTGGTAGACAATTAGCTGCCACAACCAGCTTTCTTAAAGTAGAAGAATGGAACTATCCCAAAGGGAAAAGAACAAGTCATAAAGTACAGAGCCATTTTAGCGGAGCTAGTGCCATCTGTGCTCTTTTCACTACTATTGATGGAAAAGAAAACATTCACAATGTCAGATGTTGCAAACTGTCTGAAAATTGTAAGGAAACCTCTAGGAAGAAGCTTAAGCATGCCGCCCACCTTCAACCTTCTTTGGAGCATAGAAAAGGGTTGTCGAGGCAGAGCTTTAAGGAAGAAGCTTCAGGTGTTGTCTCTAACTGTCGTTCAGCAGTCTCAAATAATGGAATGCTTCCTGTGGACTTGGATAGACCCTCGGCCTCTGCTGAATTTGGCGAGCTATTTAAGATGGATGCTCAATCACTCAGTGGTGCTGTGAACCACGGAATTGAAGTATCATTGGACATGAGTGTTGAACCCTCTGGCTCAAAACGTACCATTCCATTTAGCAGCACCAAAAGTGTAAATGAGGTATCATCCGACTATATGCAATATGTGTATCGCAGAAAACCTAGCAACAGAAACCTACCAAAATCTTCTCTGTTGAAAGAGCTCGTTAAATTAAGTATTCCTGAGCGAATACCTGATTTCACATGGAAAGATCTGAGAAGAAGAAGAGATTCAACGTGTATACGCGTCTTGTTTAGCCAGCATTTGGATGATGACACAATCAAGCAGCAGAAAAAGGTCCATTTATCAGTTTTGTTTTCCACTTCTCCATCCAAGAACATGAGCTATTATAGATCATTAACAGTACTTTTCTTTTGTGTTTTTCCTTTCAATCTCTCCAGATCTCTGCAAGACTGGGCATTTCCATTACATCAAATTCTATGGATGCCACACATTACATAGCAGATAGGTTTGTGCGTACAAGGAATATGTTAGAGGCCATTGCTGCTGGCAAACCAGTGGTGACACCTCTATGGCTTGAGAACTCTGCTCAAGCAAGTTTGATACTTGATGAGAAAAATTACATCCTGAGGGACTCCAAAAAGGAAAAGGAAATTGGGTTTTCCATGCCCGGCTCGTTGGCTCGTGCAAGCCAATTCCCGCTTCTAAAGGTGATTGTGTGAGTTTGCATTGTTTATTTCAGACCTGATTTGTATTCTGGTTGCTTCAGATTGTGGTAGACTTACTAGTTTACTGCAGGATAAAAGAGTGTGCATCACCCCAAATGTGAAACCTAACAAGGAGATGATTACTAGCTTGGTCAAGGCAGTGCAAGGGAAGGTATATGCTTAACGTGCTAGATAAAGTTATAAAATTACAAAACCTATTGCAGATTTTTTTAACTTTTGACAAGTTGCTTCTCAGACGGTAGAGGGAAGTCAGATTTTTGCAGTAAAAGATCTAATAATCCCCGATGATCTATTAATCCTTTCTTCCGAACTAGATGAAGCAATCTGCACACCTTTACTTGAGAAAGGTATAGATTTTCGATTATTATTTTCCTTCAATGTGATGGATTTTAAGGATAAGGTTTTTCATGTAAATTCTCTTTGGCTACAGGAGCTGCGGTCTATAGTTCAGACCTTTTGCTAAATGGGATTGTCCTCCAAAAACTGGAGTATAAGAGGTAAACAGAATCATAGTGAATACTTTATGTAGATATACCATTTTTCCCTAGGAGTGAGCAGACAATCATGGGTCTCCCTTTTTGTGGCCGTAAATAAAAGTGGCCCTAAAGGCTTCAAGGAGAGAATTATGGAGAGAAGAAACTGTCGATGACAAACAAAACTGCTTGCAGTTCTAAGGTCTAACACTATGAATCTTCAATTGGCAGGCATCGAATCTTCACCAGTTTCAGAGCAAACCAAAAATTTAAGAGATAATAGAGAAGTAACAAGGTATAGGAAAGATGGTGATCTCTCCCCTCTAGGAGCTTCATTTGGTAGTCTGCATGTAGCTCTCTTTTGCCAACAGATGGAAGATGGCATCCACCAATGGTAACATTTTGTATAGGAGGCTTGTGCATATATTACTCAGGCTCATTTTTGTAGTTTATGCAAATCCCAGATACTTGTAGTTATTTGGATTATTAATGGACTTACTTTTGGGGCAGAAACAGGAGTCACAGATCGAAATTGTTAATGCGCCTCAACATGTCCCATGTCGATCTTATATCTTAATGTTCATGTAATTTATAACTATATTTTTTATGGGAATAAGGAAGAGGCTATTAATCTGAAAAGAACTGCATAGAGAAAATCCTGCAGTGGTATCTACCTAAATAAATTTGTTAGCAGAAAACCAAAGTGACAACCATTTCGGAATGGGGGTAGACTGAATCATCAATTGTGCCTCCTTAGGCAGAAATTAGAATCCTTAGCGTGACACATTGATACTAACATAATAGATTTTGAATGGCTACCTCGAATTCTTCACGGTTCCAAATGATGAAACTGACAGTCTTCATGTCATTTTGGATCGAACTACAACATTTTTCAGGTCAGCAGTTTCATAGCAACTGCTTATGGTGCCTACCCTAGAATACAAGGCTTTAGCCAAACACCATATTTTTCTTTCCATATATAGCACTATTTTTCAAACTCCATGTTCAGTAACATGCATGACTCACTTTTTAAGCACCTTAAATTAGACTTTAATGACTAACTTCCGGAGGTTGGGCACTGGTATTGAAATTGTCAAAGCCTCCACTAGTTGGCGCAGAAGGATTGGCTTGATAAGGTGTGGGTGTAACCATGGTTGGTGCTCCACTAGTAGAAGTCATTGTTGTGCTTCCAGGAACAGTTGTCGGGTAGACCAATGTAGGAGGCCTAGGGACACCATTTAGTTGAACTGGGAAGGACGGAGCTCCAGGTGGAGCAACCATTGGTGGCATACCTGGTGCAGGAACATAGCCTGCAAATACCAATGAAGAATTGAAGACTCAATACCACACGTTTTTGCTACTAATAACGAAAAGAAATCCTAAAGGAGCTTACCTGGAGCACCAGGAACTGGTCTTGGCAACACAGGTGGCCTCATCCCTGGGGCCAATGGTGAATTGACAGGCAATGGGGCAACCCCAGAAATTGGCATTATTGGTGTTGGCAGAACAGGAAGTCGGGGCCTCTGAGCCAGTAGATGTTGATTGTAAGCAGCCCCTACCTGTTGGAAAGCAGCAGCCTGACCAAGATGTTCCTTGATTCTTTGGTCAATTAAGCTCTGGGTTTGTTGCTCTTCAAATTGCTGATAGTAGGATCTCACATTTGCCTAAAATATATGCAGGGGATCAACAAATAGCCATAACACCAAAACCAAAAAAAAAGGCAGTTCAAGTGCACTATAATCAGTACGAGTTAGGAGATGACAACAACAATACCTTGTGCTTGTAACCTGCATTGTGCTGCTTTCTCACAGATGGCTAACACATCAAAAAAACAAAAGGTCAGCAATAATACACATTCATCATCCACACATCTAACACTCAAAAAAAAAACGTTAAACTAAGCCAACAAAACAAAAAGTTTCAACAACCCATGATAGGATTCGACTATTCACACAACCTATGAATATGCAGATAAGACCCAACGAAGAAGACATTCAACTAAATCCCACTAAACATGTGTGAAATTTAATATAAATTGTATGGTTTTGATCCATGTAACTGCCCCTAAACTAACACTAGTGACAGCTACTCAAATTCCTTCATAGGAAAAGAAATTCTGAGTCGAAAAAAACTTACTGAGTCGTGGGTCAAGTAAGTATCACAATAATCGCAGTAGTACCTGCAAGAAACCAACAAATCACACAAAATTACAAGCTTCGCCAGGAAACATAAAACCTAGGGATTCGAACACAAAATTCACACCGAGGCATGGCTGTGGAAGAAAAACCAGAATCGCAATCTGGGTGCAGATTGAAAACAGCAGAAATTCAAGTTCCTTAGGGGGAGCAAGCAAAAGCCAAAGACCCTAGCTTGAACCTTAATTTGAAGAGAGAAAAAACAGAAGAAAAAGACAAAAGCTTGGAATTGGAAAGCAGGAGATCTGTATTATATATATACACACGGGAAGTTCCGTCTGCTATAATAGAGAATTCTGGATTTTCTTGGTCAAAACATCCAAGGGTCAAATGCCTGGTAGAGTCAAGAGATCAACGGCAAATGAATTTTGATTGTTACTTTCCCTGGAATTTCTTTTATTAATAAGAAAAACCTTGTCCACGGCCTAAATAAGTAAATGATAAT